GTAACTGGGATTACAGGCATGTGCCACCGCGCCCAGCTAATTTTTTTGGTATTTTTAGTAGAGATGGGATTTCACCATATTTGCCAGGATGGTCTCGAACTCCTGACCTTGTGATCCACCCACCTCAGCCTCCCAAAGTGCTGGGATTACAGGCGGGAGTCACTGTGCCCGGCCCTTATTAACCTCGTTTTCAAAGAGTAGACAAGACAACATGTGCTTTCAAGGACTCTCTGGGAAATTCAGACAGTTTAGACATCAAAGCTATCCCAAATGAATGCCATTCTCAAAAATGACATTCCAGGCAAAACCTGGGGAATTTTATCTTATTTTATTTTACATTAGGACTCAATATAGGGAAGGGAGAAAGCAAAGTTATCAAGAGACTTAACCACTTAAGAATGAAGTCAAGTCATGAGAAACTATTTGGCTATTCATTTCAAACTGAAAATAATTTTTTTTTTTTTTTTTAGACCGAATCTCACTCTGTCGCCAGGCTGGAGTGCAGTGGCATGATCTCAGCTCACTGCAACCTCCATCTCTTTGGTTCAAAGGATTCTCCTGCCTCAGCCTCCTGAGTAGCAGGGACTACAGGTGCACACCACCACACCCAGCTAATTTTTGTATTTTTGGTAGAGACAGGGTTCCCCCATGTTGGCCAGGATGGTCTTGATCTCTTGACCTTGTCATCCGCCCGCCTTGGCCTCCCAAAGTGCTGGGATTACAGGCGTGAGCCACTGTACCTGGCCATGACAATAAAGTATTTAAATATTTGTTTAAACTCAACAGAGAAGGAAAATAATTGTAAAGAAATTAGCCCTTCCTAAATGAGTTTTCTTTTCTTTCCTTTTTTTTTTTTTTGGTTAGGGTCTCACTGTCACGCAGGCTGGAGTGCAGTGGTAAGATCTAGGCTCACTGCAGGCTTGACCTCCCCAGCTCCAGAAACCTTCCCGCCTCAGCCTCTGCGGAAGGTGGGACCACAGGCTGGCGCCACCGTGCCCACCTAATTTCTTGTATTTTTGTAGAGACAGGTTTCATCATGTTGGCCAGGATGGTCTCGAACTCTTGGGCTCATGATCCGCTGGCTTCAGCCTCCCAAAGTGCTGGGATGACAGGCGTGAGTCACTGCGCCCGGCCCATAGCTGTTTTCATTAAACCACAAATATTAACCCAGTCACATTTGTCTAAATAAAAAGATTTTGAATTCTGAAAACATTTCTGAGTTAGCTTTTATGAAAATAATTTTCTTTTCCTTTTTGACCATTAACAGTATTAGAAGTTACATTTCCCCAACTTCTGAAAAATTCGGGACTATTCCATTTATATAAGGTGATTACTTATCTCTAAAGCTATCAGAACGGGGCCCCTTTGGCGATTTTAAATCTAATATGGCCGGGGAGGGCTGCAGCCAAAAGCGCCTGCGAGCGGCCCGCGGCCGTGGGGTCCCGGGACAGGCCCGCGCGGGGCCGAGATGCCAGGGCCCCCGGAGGCAGGACGGGCGGTGCCGCCGCTACGAAGGCTGGAGGGACAGCGAGGCATCCTGGGAGGCGCCCTGGCTCAGACGCTTCTGTGGGAGGGCGTCTGAGTCCTCAGTTTCCCCAGGACGCGTAAGGAGACAACCGGGGAGGGCCGGCACGCCGCTGCCCACCGTGTCCGGGAGCCCCACCGTTCGCCCGCACCCCTCGCTGCCCATCCCCAGCCGCACGCGCGCGCCGCCAGCGCTCCCGCGGCACCGACGCGCACTCCAGCACTCAGGGCCGGCAGCGTGGTGACAAGGCCAACTGCGCCCCCTGTCTCCAACGCGCTCCCGAGGGGCAGAGGGAACACAGCAGCCACATGTGGCTATGATAAATATATACAAATACTATATGATGTATGTTATGTATAATAATGTGGCTATATTATGATGTTTTCAATATAATTCAATATAAATAATGAATTAACTAAAGTTAATTCAATTTTTTTTTTTTTTTTTGAGACAGTCTCGCTTTGTCGCCCAAGCTGGAGTGTGGTGGCGCGATCTCGGCTCACTGCAAGCTCCGCCTCCAGGGTTCAAGCGATTCTCCTGCCTCAGCCTCCCGAGTAGCTGGGACTACAGGCGCCCGCCACCGCGCCCGGCTAATTTTTTTTGTATTTTCAGTAGAGACGGGGTTTCACCGTGTTAGCCAGGATAGTCTCCATCTCCTGACCTCGTGATCCGCCCGCCTCAGCCTCCTAAAGTGCTGGGATTACAGGCGTGAGCCACCACGCCCAGCTACGGTTAATTCAAATTTAAAATTCAGTTCCTCAGCTGCCCCGCAGGTGCAGACGCTACATGTGGCTGCTGGTCACCACTGCCTTGGCAGGAGCACCTCCCTCGGTGCAGAAGCTCTAGGCGCCAGTGGTCACGGAGAGGCTCTGCTGCCCCAGTGGGGCGGGGCGGGAGGCATCATTTTATGGCAAGTGCTTTGGCACTGTGCCTGAGGAAGATCACCATGGCCAGGCGACCAACCCAGACAGGGACTGAGCCAAGATGAATCAGCCTGGTGAGCCAATACTTGTCACAAAGCCTGAGCCACCCAACTCGAGGTCACCCAGAAAAGCCAAGGCAATGAAGACAGTGACAGGGGCTGGGAAGCAGGACACAAAGAAATGAGACTTGAGAAGACCATCACGACGCAAGAGTTAGGTATTCTTTTAAAAATTAGTAAATGAAAGAAGAAACTATAACTGTGAGACCCGCCCATACTGGGCCTACCTTGTTGATGACAGAATGTCACCTTGCTTTGTAGGTACAACAGAGCCAAAACTGCAAGGCATGGAGCCCAGGCATGCACAATGGAACAAGCTTTGACCTCTAACAATACCCAGAACCAATGACTCCTCCCCTCAGAACCAAGACGACCAGGACAGGACTGGAACCTGAACATGGAAATCTTTCAGAAGCAGGGATCCGTTGGCCTGGGAGACTGGGGCTCAAATCTGCCTTGACAATCCTTTCCATAATGGTTAAATTTGAAGCCCCACAATCAGACCCTGCCAAGCCAACACTGCTAAATCATTTCCCTTGCCCTCTGGTCCCTTAAAGCTTGCCCCAGACCTCAAACTGGGGAGACAGATTTGAGCCCCACTCCTGCCTTCTTGCTGGTCAGTTTTGCAATAAAGCCTTTCTTTTCTCAAAAGCTGCTGCCAGTGTTACTGGCTTCACTGTGCATTAAGCGGTGAGCCCATTTGCTTGATAACAAAACTCCTCAAGGCATTGGCGATGTCACCAGTCAGTGACAGGGCTGTGTGGGCCCTGAGGAGTGACCCGGAGGAAGGGGATGCTTGGGAGAGGGAGAGGAAGGAGCAGTAGACAGGGGTCCACCCAGCAGAGAGCCCAGGCTCAGCAAAGCCACAGAAGAAGGGAGTCTCCAAACTGCTAGGTCCAGAGGGACCCCACAGAGCATCGGGGAGAGCCATAGGGGCCTAAGGCAGGGCCTAGAAGGCTGGGTGGCAGGCGGGGAATTAGAATTTAATCTGTAGGAGATAAGGAGCCACTGAAGAATATTAGGTAAAGAGGACAGGACTAGATAGCAGTTTTGAAAAGGGGCATTGGTAGACCTGGTGCCGTGGCTCATGCCTGTAATATCCTAGCACTTTGGGAGGCTGAGGTGGGCGGATCACTTGAGCTCTGAAGTTCGAGACCACCTGGGCCACCTGTGGAAACCCCGTCTTCACAAATAATGGTGGCATGCGCCTGTAGTGCCAGCTACTCTGGAGGCTGAGGTGGGAGAATCGCTTGAACCTGGGAGGCAGAGGTTGCACTGAGCCAAGATCACACCATTGCATTCCAGCCTGGGCGACAGAGCAAGATCCTGTCTCAAAAACAAGTGGGTGGTTGGCGCTGGCTGACCCAGCACACTGAAGAAAGGAGAACGTAGTTCAGGTTGAGGCCCGGCAGGGTACAAGTAAACCCAGCTGAACAGAGAGGGCCATGGCAGACAGGGAAGGGAGGGAGACGCCACTCTGGAAAGCCCTTAAAAGCAGCATGGATAACACTTGCTGGGCTCTGGGAGAAAATAACAGTTTACTGCAGGCGGGAGAAGATTTGGTGCGAAGGGTACTGCTTCCTTAGGTCGAGGTGAAAGACCTTGGCAGCAGAAAAGGCTGGCTCTGGCCCCTTCCCCTGGGGAAGGTGGGAGCTGGGACCTGCCTGACCTTATGCAAAAGTCCGACAATAGTGGGAGGGAGGACGTGGGCATCCGAGGAGCCCCTGCCCGGGATTTGCAGATGCGGTGGCTGCAAGAGCTGAGGCCAGGCCCTGCCTGGTGCTGACGCGGTGAAATCTAAAGCTCCTGAAAAGCCAGGCTTCCCCCCGCGGGGACAAGGCCATCCAGCACCACAAAGAGGAACACAGAATGGGGTTTCAGAACAAGAAAAAAAAAAACTCTTTCGGGGCCCTGCTGCATTTGTGTGAGTCTGGCTCCTTTGCATCTCCATCCACATCAACGTTCACTGTGAATGGAGCCCAGAAGGAAGGACAGGCTCAAAATGAAGGATGGGGAGGGAGGGAGACTTGGAAAGGCATTTGCCTGTTCTTAAACCACCCAGGAAATGAGTGTGCCACCGTCCGTTATGCTTGTGAGTGAAAAGGGTGGAGGGTGAGCCGCTGCTTCCGGGAGGTCAGGGAAGGACATTCTGAAAGTGACATTGAAGTAGAGACCTGAAGAAATGAGGGAGGGCGCTGTGAAGATATTTGGGGTGGGAGGAATGCTTTAGGGGAACATGTTTGACAGATCCAGAAACAACCCAAAGGCCACCCGATGTAGAACAGGATGGAGGCAGGAGAAAGCAGGGGAGTGGAGGCAGACAGGTCCCGGGCCATCCCACAGGGCGTGGGTGAGGTGAGGAAGTCGCTTCTGTGAGGTGAGCAATGGGGGAGTGACATCATCTGACTCAATGGACAAAGGTCCCTCAGGCCGATGTGTGAACCGTGAAGAAAGCATGGACCAAAACAGGGACACTGTGGTGGGGTGCAGGCAGGCGCCCAGATGTGGGGTTAGTGGTGGAGGGGAGAATGGGCTGGTACTGGATCTGTTTCCAAGGTAGAGTGGCGGGACTTACTGATGGCGTGCGATTATCGAGGTGCGGAGGAGGGGGTAGCTACAGGTTTTGGGGATGAGGAGGGGA